ACTCCAGGTACGGGCTGGGAAGCTGAGTGGGGACACCCTGCTTTGTCCCCCCCCACCCTGTGCTCAGCAGCAAGGAGAGGCTGAGAATCGGGAGGGGAGGTGGAGGAGAGGGTGGCAATGGGCATGAAATAGGCCAAAAAATAAAAAGAGAATCTGCTTGCTGCATCCCCAGCAGCAGGGTTTGGCTGCTGGGGGAGCAGGAAAAGGCTGGAACAGGGGGGGCAGGTTGGGGTGCAGAGGTGGGCGGGCTGGCAGGGCCAGGGCCTGCTGCTGACAGCGCCGTGGGCTCCTCTCGCTGCAGCTACTCCCGCAACCACACCTACAACACCTACATCGGGAAGGGCTTCATCATCCCCGGCATGGACCAGGGCCTGCAGGGGGTCTGCGTGGGAGAGCGGCGCCGTGTGGTCGTCCCCCCCCACCTGGCCTACGGCGAGAACGGTGCAGGTACAGGGCAGCCCCCCTGGGCTGTGGCACCCTCTCCTCCAGCCCCGCACACCCGCATACCACGGGGACGCTGCTGGGAAAACGCTGGCCAAGAGGGGCCAGCTCCCTGCTCTGGGGCCACCACCATCCCCAGGACTTGGGCATGGGGGTGTGGGTGGGCAGGGGAACGGCTGACGCCAACACATGGGGGTCCGAGGGACGGACACGTCATGGGGTGCGGGAAGGAGCAGGGAAAGGCTTTAAAGGCCCCGCAGTGCTCCCGTAGCAATCCCCACAGCAATCCCAGCAGCTCATCTCCTTCCTCATCCTTCTCAGGGGACAAAATCCCGGGCTCAGCTGTGCTCATCTTCGACGTCCATGTCATTGACTTCCACAACCCCGCGGACACGGTGGAGATAGAGACGCTGTACCGGCCCGCAGACTGCAACACCACCACCCGCGACAGAGACTTCGGCCGCTACCACTACAACTGCTCCCTGCTGGCTGGACGGCACCCGGCTCTTCTCCTCGTGCGTGCGCGCTCAGGGTGCACCACAGCAGGGGGTGCAGGATTTGGGGTGTAGGATTTGGGGTGTGGGGCTTCAGGGCACGGCAGGATGCAGGGCACGGGATTTGGGGGCATGGTGGGATGAAGGACATGAGATTTTGGGGCACGCTGGGATGGAGGACATAGGATTTTGGGGCATGGGTGGGCTGCCCGCTGGGTCTGAGGGGCTTTCTCAGCAGTGTGGTCCTCTCTGCCCCCCCGCAGCCGCCGCACCCACGACTACGAGAAGCCGCAGGAGGTGACCCTAGGGACCAACAAGGTGATCGAGGGCCTAAACAGTGGCCTCCTCAACATGTGTGTGGGGGAGCGGCGGGTGCTCATCATCCCCCCCCACCTGGGCCATGGCGAGAGCGGAGGTAGGGGAGCAGAGTGTAAATTGGGGGGGGTCTGCCTTGCTGGGCTCCTTCCCTCCTCGTCCTGGCTGGGTCTGGGGTTTTGCCCCCCCCGTCACAGCCTTTGCTGTTTGTTTAGCCCGGGGAGTGCCAGGCAGCGCTGTGCTGCGCTTCGAGGTGGAGCTGATCTCCATGGAGGAGGGGGTACCCGAGGGCTACCTCTTCATCTGGCACGGGGAGCCCCCCACCAGCCTGTATGAGCAAATGGACCTCAACAAGGACGGGGAGATCCCTGCCGATGAGGTGGGTGAGGGCCACCAGCACCGCTG